ACACACACACACACACACACACACACACAAACACATACACTACATGCACACACAAACAAAACAAAACAAACAAATGAACTAAAAAAAAAACAAGGTGTTTCAGCAACGGTGAAACCAAGCTTTATGCCTGGTACTTTAAAAAATAGCAATGATAAACATTAATCAAATTTCCATTTAAACAACAATGGAGAGGAATGCCTGATGAACAGGAACAAATTGTTAAGTATAGTCATGCATGTTTTAAAGAAATAATAATATACGACCAATAAAATAAATTGAAATTCACAAAATGCCCCAGACCATCTATATCTTGTGCCACCCGATCTCTTTCTCTCTTTCAATTTTTGTCTCCCCTAACATCGTTGACCTCTCCAGTGGACAAATTGAGATGCTCATTCACCTGAGGTAACTGGAAATCTGCTGACTTGCTGTTGGTTCATAACACACCCTTCTTATAGACTGTCTTCCCTTCCCATGTCCTCTACTCCAATATCTTCACTTGGTATGGGCTCGGTATCTCAATCAACATGTTTTCTTGAATTTTGGAATATCCTTTTTTCTCAAGATCATGTTCCATTATGGGCTCTCCTTAGCTATAGATTTGTACCCTTTGCTGAGACATAACAATAATACAATTCTTATTAACAGTGTGAAATCATTATTTTTCAGTTTAAGGTTAAACATGTTTTTTATCTTTTAGACTCAAAAGAGATTAGTTTCTTGATCTCCGAGAAAAAATAGCTTAGCTAGGCCTAGTCAAATTTTAGTACAATAAAATAGGCATAAATAGTCATATCTAACTGTGCAAGTGTTTAAAAGCAGCAGGGAATGTCAAATTGACCGCTGCTTATAAGCGTGTAACTGACAGATACACGCTTAGAGCGAAATCGTTTATCTCGAAGCAGGGACTGATGCGCGTCTAGGGGCACCATTCGCTTGAACAAATCATTACAGTCTATTCGTGTAATAGACTATGTCTGGCTGGAAAAGGCTTACAAAGTACATTGACAAATGAATTACTGCACAAATCATGATTTGTATGAAATCAACAAAACTCTTACCTTTTATGCGTAAATTGTGGCATAAGAAGACAAAATGTGAAGCTCCGATGTGAACTTCAGCATGTTTCCAGTTACACGGATAGAGTGAGAGAGGGAGGCTGTACTTTTGTCGAGGTGCGATTAGAACACTTAACCGTTTGTGCTGTTTATAGTGCATGATGACCTCCCATATAAATAGAAAATATGCTGAAATGGCTTCTGACCCGTTTAAAACAAATCCGTGTCGACCCAATTGTTCCAGTTACACGGTTAGAGAAAAACACAGTTGGTATAATATATTCCTTTGCACACAACTCACCCTTTCATATCCTGCAACCATATACTATATTTCACATTTACCTACAAATCTCAGTGACACTATTAAGTTTAAAGAAGATGTAGCCGCCAGGCCACTGATACAATCTGAAAGGACAGGACCCTTTTGCGCCATCAACAACCAAAAAAAGGGGAAAAGAGAGTTGTACTGCGGTATTCAGTCAAGGATTTAGAACTGAAATAACAATACAAGTAAAAAAATTGAAATTTCGAGTCTAAACACATAAATTAATTTCTGCGATTAACTTACTTCATTTTCCATTCGGGGTGAGGTTGAAATTTTCCCGAACGTCCACTCAACTGGATTACAGGCCAATCGCAAAAATCTGTTAAATTATAAAAATCCTAAAGTTATTTTGTTCAGAAATGAGACAATTCGCACTCTAGAATTACCAAATTCTATTTGCTCAGTACCTAGTTTTGAGAAATTTAACGTAAAAAATTTTGAGTTCCACAACATGTCAAGCTTTTTCTAGTACACAGTTCTTGGCATATCTTGATAATGACTCTGAATAACCTTATAATTTTGACAGAACAGATAGAAGATTTGGTCTCTGACCTCATGGTCTTAGTAACTGAAAACGGCCAAAAATGTCAGATAAAACTTTGTAATTCTAAAGTAGCAATTTGTCTGTTGAAACATTCAAAAGGTGACGTAGATCATAAATACTACATTTGAACCAGAGATTTTAAAAATCCTAATGACAGTCAATATCTGCAAAAGAAAAACCTGGTAAAAGGGGCATCACTCAGCATAAAATTGGGCTACATACCTTTTTTTCGAAAGTCAGTCAAAAGGACAATTTTCAATAAATGCGCACGACAGCTCTTGGCAAATGTGGCGTTTACCAATTTTGATGATGCAAGGCTTATGTAGGTGTTAAAAGGTTTAGGGGCACAACCAATTGTCACTAGGATGACATTTACAAAGTTGACATTCACAAAGGTGACATTCACAAAGGTGACATTCACAAAGGTGACATTCTTGAGGGTGAAATTTAGTAGTATAGGGTTTTACGGCGCTCGCAACTGCGTACGGTCATTTGAGTGCGCGAAACACAAGTTGGTCTTGTTCACAACAGTTCGTTGTACGGCTGGCTTGGGTCAGTAGTTAAATCTTATAATGTTTAAAAACCAGTGTAAATATACATATATTTTCAATCTAAAACAATTTTTTCTAGTTGACATAAAAATTTTAAATAGTACAGTTTTACTTTACAATTTGCCATAAAGGCCAATGGCCTTCATAAAATTCAAAATTTTGCTGGGACCAACGACGGAAAAAAATGTCTTGCAATTTCTTGCATTTATAACATTTCCTTCGGATCTCTCCAAAGTCTAGACATTCGGTTAAGATGTGTCTAACGGTAAAATCTGTGTCGCATCTGACACAGAACGGCTTCTCATCTCCCTGTAGGAGGTATTTGTGGGTCAGGGCCGTGTGTCCGATGCGCAATCGAGTAAAAATGACTTCGTCTCTTCTGGAGAGGTCCGAAGGATTTCGTTGTTCTAGTTTGGGCTTTATTTCATATAGTTTATTTTTTTTCTGCTTTTCCCAGTGACTTTATTTCTAAAGTCAGTCTGCGGGAGAGTGTTTGTCGTTGATCCCAGCAGAAGGGATGAAGCTTTCTTCACCAGGTCGTCTACCTGCTCGTTTCCTCGGACGCCCACATGGCTAGGTATCCATGCGAACATGATGTTTTTTCCGGTCTCGGATAGTGTGTGAATTTTTTGTTGTAGCCTAACTATTTTTGGGTGTAAGAGTGTGTAGTTTGTGAGTGAGGTGATGCAAGACAGAGAGTCAGAAAGGATTAGGAAAGATTTGTTTGGAGAATTTTCTACGGAGTCCAGTGCCATGTCAATGGCAGTGGCCTCCGCAGAGAAAATGGAGGCTTCAGGATGGAGTCTCCACTGGCGTGTACTGTTGGAAGATAGGGCTGCGGCGCCCACTTCATTGTCTTTTTTTAAGCCGTTCGTGAAGATGAGCTCCGCACCAGGGTATTTATCTATTAGTTTTTTGTATTCTGCTTGAAAAGTTTTGGTGTTTGTGCTTTCTTTGTTGTGTGTGGTCAGCTGTAAATCTACTTTTGCCTTGGTGAGGTGCCACGGAGGGAGGTCGGGGAAAAGAATTTGTTGGATGTCTTGTTTGGAAAAGTGTAAGTTTTTGAGGTCCTCAAGGATTCTGAGGCCGAAGGGTTTGATGAGTTTTTCGTTGTTTTGGAATTTGTTCATGGTTTCTGGGTTTGTTTTAAAAATGCTGTTGTGCGCTGGATTTTCCGGTGTTGAGCTCTGTTTGTAGTGAGAGTTGTGTGCGTCTGAGTGAAAGTGGTGGTATGTTGGCCTCGGCCTGGAGGCTCTCCACCGGAGAAGTGTGGAAAGCCCCCAGAGCGAGGCAGAGTCCTTGGTTCTGTATTGGGGCAAGCATTTTTGAGATGTGTGGTTTTGCCGATCCGTAGACTTGACAGCCGTAGTCAAGCCTGGACCGGACAAGGGAGATGTACAAGTGGAGAAGGTGTTTTGAGTCCCAGCCCCACTCCGGATGCGATAGAATTTTCAAAGCGTTTAGCGCTTTCTGGCACCTCACACGAAGGTCTTTGATGTGTGGTATGAATGTGAGTTTTTTGTTGAAAATGACGCAGAGGAAACGAGCTTGGTCCTGGACGGGATCCTTTCCCTGTATAGTGTCAAATTCGGCTGCAGCACACGTCTGCCTGTTCAGCAGAAGTGTACTGCAACCGTCTTTGACAGGGAGAACTTGAAACCGTTATTGTTTGCCCACGTTTCGAGTTTGTGCAGCTGCGTTTACAGCTGCCTTTCCATAGATCTCAAATGAGGATTTTTTTAAAGGCAGCATATCAAAAAGTCAACGTATAATGAGCTGTCTTTGTTGTTTTGGAGGGTTTTCACTATGGAATTTATTTTAATTTCTAATAGGAGAGGAGAAAGGATGCTCCCCTGGGGGACTCCTTCTTCCTGTTGGTGGGGGTCTGAAAGGGAGGATCCGACACGAACCTGGAAGGAACGGTTCTTCAGGAAGTTGCCAATGAAGGCAGGGAGGTGACCTCGTATGCTGAGTGCATGCAGTTCTCGAAGAATGCCGTACTTCCAGGTTGTGTCGAAGGCTTTTTCTAAGCCAAAAAAGATGGCGATCATGTGGCCTCTTTCAGCGAATGTCTCGCGTATAAAGGTCTCCAGGCGGACCAGGTGATCCAGAGTGGATCGAGTTTTCCTGAATCCGCACTGGAGACCGCTCAGCGAGCCCGTCGTTTCCAGAATCCACATGAGTCGCCTGTGAATCATTTTTTCAATCAGTTTGCAGAGACAGCTCGTTAGTGCTATTGGTCTGTAATTGGATGGGTGTGTGTGGTCTTTGTTTGGTTTGGGTATTGGAATGACAGTGGCGAGACGCCAAGACTCCGGAAAGGAGTGCGACCACCACATGTCGTTGTATATGTATAGTAGGAGTGTGAGTGTTTCTGAGGATAAGTGTCTAATGATCTGGTTGTGGATGTCATCCGGTCCCGGGGCTGTATCGCCCAGGTCTGAGATGCACGATGTTAGTTTGTCTATTGTGAAGTCTGCGTTGTAGGTTTCAGTGTTGTTTGAGTGGAAGTTTAGGTGTTGTAGTTTGCTTGGGATGAGTTTTTGGCTAGAGATGTAGCTATTGTGTTTGCAATGTCTACTTGTGTTTCAGCTGTTGTTCCATCCGGCCTCTGGACGTGCCGAATGGTGTCTGTGCGTCTACCTAAGAATTTTTTAGCAATTTGGAAAACTTGATTGAGTGGTGTCTGGCTGTTGATTTTGGAGATGTATTTTTGGAATGATTGTCTTTTGCTCTCCCTGAGGCATCTACGTGCCTCAGCTCGAGCCTTTAAATAAAGTATCTTATTTTCTATGGTGGTGTTGTTGACGGCTCTTCGATACGCTGCCTTCTTTTTCTTTACTGCGTCCTCACATTCCCAAGAGAACCAGATCTTGTTCCTCCGGGGTTTTGTTTTTGTTTTTGGAATGTGATTGTGGCATATTTCTAAGAGTTTTTCGTGAAATTTGTTGTAGTTGTGGTCGAAATTGGGATTAAGAATCTTGGAACATTGATTGGCAAACCCGTCCCAGTCGGCTTTTTTGAAGTTGAAGCGTTCTGGGATCGGGTCGTTTTGGAGGCTATTGTTTTTTAGGAGAATTGGGAAATGATCCGTACGGTCATCCAGCACAGACCACTCAAGATCTGGGACTAGTTCAGGGGTACAAAAAGTAAGGTCAAGGGATGAAGTGCCATAAGTGGCTCTGTTTCTGAAAGTTGGGGATTTATCATTTAAGAGACAGATGTTATTTTGAAATAAAAAGTTTTCTATTATTTTACCTTTCTGGTCTATAGGTTTGTCTCCCCAAAGGGGGCTGTGGGCATTGAAATCACCTAGTAAAATAAAGGGTTTTGGGAGCTGGGACTTTAATTCATTTAGTTGGGTTATTTTGAGGGGGTAATTTGGTGGGATGTAAACTGAGCAGATCGTGATTGGTCTGTGCAGGGTGACCCGTACGGCAATAGCCTGGAGGGTCGTCTTAAGATGTACTTGTCTGTGGAGTGTGTGGTTGTCGGTGTAGATGGTGGTACCACCGGAAGCAATCTGGTTCTCCGTGTGAATGTGATGGTACGCAGTAAATCCTCTTAAGTCTATGGTTGAAGCCGGGGCGAATTTTGTTTCTTGAATACAGGCCACCCGTGGGCACAGTGTGGCCTGTAAATGTTGCAATTCTGCAATGGAAGGTCGGATTCCGCCGGCATTCCATTGCAGGACCGCCATTATGAATTTTTACTTTTTGATTTGGAGCACTTAGGCCCCGGCTTCGAAGAAGCACTCTGACTCCTCCTTACGGGGGAGGCAGAGTGTTTTCTAGGTTGCCGTCCTGGATTGGACGGCGGTCTAGTGGGGGATTTGGAGGAGTGACAGACTCCGCCCTTCCCGGGGTCAGGCCGGGGAGGGGGGTCGGAGATGTCATCCTCCGTTGGTAGTGGGGGGAGTGGAGGGGTAGAGGGAGGTGGAGCAGACAGAGGGGGCTGGGGAGAGGGGGGAGGGAGTACCTCAATCTCCATCAGAGAGATGGGTTGTGAGGTGGAAGAAGAAGAAGAAGAAGAAGAAGAAGAAGAGGGAGTAATAGAGGAGGGGTGAGGGGGAGAAGGGGGGGTGGAGGAAGAGTCCATCCCATTCTCCCCAAGAACCCCAAAGCGGTTAGTTAGTGGTACCTGGAAGGTGGGTACTACAGTTTTAGGAGGAACCTTTTTGTGTTTCGCAGTAAGTTTCTTGTTGACCGCGGGTTCTGGGGGGTC